CCATTCCAAAACTTCTAACCATCCTGTTAGGAAAGTAAAACCAAACTCTCTTTGTTGAAGATCATTCCTACCCTGTCAGTTTTTGTTTGTGCTTCCTTGACTTGCCTTTCTCAACATTAAGTACAAGAACAGATGATGCATTGACACTATCAATTCCCTTAATAATCTTGAACACCAAGAAGATTTTTTCTACATCTTTTTTTTTTCAAGGGAAAATTTCACAGATCTTAACCTGTCCTCATATGACAACCTTTCCATCTCAAGTATCATTCTTTGAACCTTTTCCAACAACTTAATGTCCTTTGTAGGTAAGGAGCCCAAGACTGAACATAGTATTCTAAATGAGACCTAATTAGTGACCTATACAATGAAATTATAACCTCTTAATAAAACTAGTTTTGACAGGTCAAATTTGTCATTCTCAAAATATGGAGTAAAACTTGACCTGTTGAAACTGGTCAGTTTTTGTTTTGCTAATTCTTTCATGATTTTTGTGTTGTTGTACTGATGTTTTATTTGTTTTTTATCTATTTGCACAAAATACTACTGCTTTAAATGCTCTTTAGACTTGAATCAAATATTTTTTTAAAATACTACTCAAAATCCTATTTGCCCTACAACTAGCAATAGCACACTGCTTGGGTGGTTTAAGAGATTTATCAACCCAAATCCATTTCTTCCATAACACTGTTAAGGTTATTTTAATTAAAATTAGATAGGTTTCTTGAAGTAATTCAGTGGAGTTGAGTAGTAAGGGCAATAGGTTTCTTGAAGTAATTCAGTGGAGTTGAGTAGTAAGGGCAATAGGTTTCTTGAAGTGATTCAGAATGGTTTTTCCATATCAAGTTCTTATAGTGCCAGCCAAATATGATGCGGTTTTATTGTTAACCACTAATAAAGATATGGCTCTAAGAGTTGAAGTGGAGAACAGTTTGAAAAAAAAAAAGTTATAATTGCATAGTCAATATGTCTATAAATACATCCTTAAATGTATTAATTTTACTACTAGTAAAAGAGCTTTATTTTGATAGCTTGAATGACTTCGCCAGTAAGCCAAGATCCTTTTCTTCAGTCATGCTATTCAGTGGGTTTATATCTACATTAAAAGTGTGATCCAAGTACATTACTTTGCACTAATCAGTGATCTAGATAACTTTTGCCATGATCAGTATGGTACTGATCAAATTTTGCTTCTTATTGATATTTGTGAAAGGTGGTCAGTAATTCAAATCATGGACAAGCATCTGTATGCTGATTTATGTAGTGATTGTATCTTTTATATCAAGAGTTTGAATGTACCAGTATTATCTTATTGTGTATTTGACTCCAAGAAAGTACAACAAAAGCACAGACATATAATTTAAATGTTTATTTATTTTTTTATTTATAATTCTCTATTTGTATGGTTGTGAAAGCTTTGTCCTTCTTCTGTTCTTAGTACTGTCCCACATTTTAATTGTAGGACTGGGATCATACAGTGAAATTTCTGGGCCAAAAATTAAAATTTCCATTAAATAGTATCTTTTCAGCCTTCATAGAGCATCTGAATATTTCTTGAGCCTGTTTGTACAGAAAAGGCTCTTTCACAATCAACACTTGTTACACAAAAGCATAAAGGGATTTGACACAGTTTTGATATCTTGTGAAATTGATCACTATGCAGTTTAATAACCCTTTTACATAAATGCTCAATTTTTATATGTGCCTTTCAATATGTCTTTGAACCTAGGCCATTCATTTTGTACCAAATCATTTTTGTTAAGCATGGGATGCACTTCAGTTTCATTGTTTTTTCTCAGCATCATTTGAAACTTTGATGAATTTATTGGTTCTATAAAAGTAACATTAGCTAGTTAAAGGTTTAAACATGGATCCCAGATTATGGATGATGTTTTCATCTTGTTGTATAAGCCTATCAGTGATGTTCTGATGAAGTCTGTCTATGTATTTACTCAACAGCTGCTTTACTTCCAAAGATTTATTACTTTTGAATTTCACGCAGAGCTACGCAAGGACTACTTGCACTGGCCATCCAAAATTTAACAGAGATAGACTAGATGGAGGCAGCTAGTTAACACTGCCAGCTCTTGGGTTACTCTTTTACCAATGAATAGTGGGAATGACCATCACATTATAATGCCCCCAAAGCTGAAAGGGTGAGCATGTTCAGCAACAAGGATTCAAAAACCACAACTCACAGATTGCGAGTCAAATGCCCTAACCACCAGGCCTTTACTTCTGAAGGAGTCCCTTATGAAACAAAGTTTTACACCTTTTATTCATCCATAATTTTGTTTGAAAGTGCTTCTTATAATTGTAATTACTTCCTTGTAATTTTCACCACTTTTCTTTAGCTCATTCAATCCATCTAACTTAGACACTCACATTTGACTGAATAATAGGTTTTTCTGCTGAAATCCACAACTTAACACCTGAATTTCACTATTGATATCTAACATGAGGCTTGTAATTAAGGCCATTTTACTGTTGTTAAAGTACATGCATAGTGATTTAGCTGCTGCAGCTGTTGTACCTAGTTCAGAACGTGTTGTTAGAACAGAAGGATAATCCACATCATCAAGTTCATCATCACTATTGCTGTATTCCACACTGTTTTTTCTATATTCATTCTTACTTCATCTAAGTGGTCACTGCTGTCATCATGACATTTAATTGTAGGAATGTGAATATTAAGAGAACCATTCTTCATTCCAATAACTTTATACTGTTGACAAAAAATGGATTTGAGTCCATCTGCTTCTGTAACAAACTGTAGTCAAAGATATTGTTTTACCCAACCTTTGATTGTACTGTCAAGGCCTTTACCACTTGAAAAAGTTATGAATTTGCCTAAGTGTGTTGTGACAATTAGCTTACCATATTTTTCGGGAATAAAAGACGCACCCTTATTTTGAAGACAAAGTTTGGGGGAAAAAAGCTACAGTCACATT